TTAAATAAAATAATAACAGTTTTAGAGATATATTTTATTATTAAGAAATTTTACATTTGAAAAACTTTGATTTTTGAAATACGTATATTTTTAAAATTTACTATATTTAAGATTTTGCAGCTAAAATAAATTTTTTAGGCGAAAATTGATTAGACGTGAAACGAGTTTTTTCTTTCTAATTATCATGAAGCAGAAACGTTTATTGCGCTTATGTACATGTGTGTTGGTCCTATATAATCACGTTTCCGCCTTTTAAACGCATACTTAAGTGCTGGTAGCCCCTTTATGTATAAATGACCCCACATACGATGACATCATACGTGCTCACAAGAAGGGGAGAGCGACTTATTCGGACAATGGGGAAGTTTTAGACAGAACGGGAGCGAAACCGAAAACATATAATTTACTCTATTCTTGTATTTTTAATAAATTGCAAATCAGATCTGTTTTCGAAACTACAAAAATTTTTGAACAGTACTTTTTCAATTTTGTGCGATATATAATATTTTTGAAAGAATTGAGAAATATTAATTATATAAACATGGAACATAAATTATATTTAAGATAAATTATGTACATGTTTGTTTAATAATATTGATGTTTTATTAGTTGATACGAGAGGATATAATTAAATTCTAGTTTTTTAATTAAATAATTAATATAATAAAATAATTTCTATTTTATCATGAAAGTTTTACTGAAACCAGAAATAAAAATTAGAAATAGATAATTTTTTTCTGTATATGAAGATTGAGATTGTTTTAATGAATATTGTTTTAATAAATATAGTTTTAATAAATATAGTTTTAATAAATTTTTCTCCCTACCTATATTTTATCTAATTATTGATTTTCAAATTTTATACATTTATTCTAACATTTTTTGTTATTTTTTATTGTAAAAGATAAATTTTATAGCAAAATTTCTTTGTAAAATAAAAATTATATATGTATACAATGTAGTTATCGATAAGTTATATACAAGTTAAGGTCAATGATAATTTTTTATGACTGCAGATAAGATTTATCCAAGAATGATGCTTTCAAACGCAAATCATGAAATTCTATTATAAGATAGATACATATCTTTTAATATTATTAAAATTTTATTAATATTACTCAGTCTTTTAATTTTCATTTAAGTTTCCATCTTTTATTTGTATAATTTCTCTAAATTTTTTCGCCGCGTATTTTTTTTTGACGAATTATTTAAAGAAATTATTTTCCAAAATTTTAATCCTTGATATTCTCAATAGCTCAATAATCAAATTTAATATTGCTAATTAACTATAAATTATAAATGTTCACTAAAAAGTTTTCTAAGGAAATAATATATGTATATCGTTTGTGTATAGTGCTTTTTCAGATATTTTATAATGCATGCAACTTCGCAAAAAGTCTATTCCCTTTCTTTCTGATCGTCGCGTGACATGCAGTTGATACACATAAGTACGCGTGGGCGAATGTGCACGTGTACGCACCATGACACAGGCGGATTCACAGAAAATATTCGTTTATCCGACGCCTCATATGTGCATCATGCTCTTGAATCAATACTTTCCATGATACAGAAGCTTATCGGTCATTTATTGCTCGTTTTGTCTTTTTCCCCTTTCTTGTTTGGATGTACTTTTCTTTTTCTCTTTCTCGCGTATATGGTTTGCTTATCTTGCATCTTACGTGTACACTACTTCGTGTGTGTATAAAAATCTGCCGTCGTTCGTGCATTGTTTATCTTTGAGAGGCAAGTATCCCAGACAGCACATGTCTTTAAAAGACGTCTAAAAGATGATTTAAAGATGTCTTATTGTCCTTTAGATATTTTTAAGATGTCTTTTGACCTTCTTTTGTACTGTCTGAGATGTGAACTCTTCACAAACGAGATC